GGATACGAATGGGTCTGTCTTACTCTACTGTCTCCCGTTTGGAGAGAACTTTGCTCCAAGTCATGGGGGTGCCTGAGCTCTGCTGGGCTCTGCCACAACCCAACACTTCTCAAAAAAAAGTTTAAAATAATCTAAACAAAGTAATACAAATGCCAACCCAGAAGGATCTCGGTGGAGAGGGGGATCCGTTGTCCTGGTTTTATCTACTAAGAGACCTATGCTTGAATCCTTCCCCCCACCCTCTTTTCCTTAATTTACACAGCTGTGGCCATCCTCGAAACCTTATTCTTAAACTTGAAACACGGTGTCACAGCTGGTAATTTTAGAAGGAGGGGAGAGAAGGAAGAAGTGGAGAGCGAGTGGGGAGCGAGTGTGGGAGGAAGGTTAAGGATGACTCTAGCAAGGCTCTCAGGCCCGGCGGGGACTTCTTCGGCACAACACCCATCATCTCCCTCTGTTCTCTCCCTCTCCTGACCTCCTTCAACTTTTCAACCCAACTGTCCTTCATGGTTTAGCCTAGGTCTGCACTAGGACCCCGAGTATCTGGAAATAATTTAATCCTCTCAAAATGCACTACTCATTGGAAAGGATAGCTTTCCAACCATTTCCCCAAATGGAAAAGAAAAAGACCACTGTAAATAAATATTCAGCAAAGCAAGCTTGCGGATATCCAAGACAGGTCCGGCACTACAGCCCTCACCATTCATGGTACGTCATCAGAATACCCAAGTCTAGATTTTCCATCCACAAGGAAGAGAGTCATATATGTACAAAGTTGAAATCTATTCAAGTACTTTCTGTAGAACAATCTAAAAATAAATTAAGGCTGCCTGAAGGCCCCCGGCTCTTCCAGAGGCAGAGACCACACAGTGGTAGAAATCAACACCTGCTTCCCAGAACGGGGCGCACATGTACCCGTCCGGTGTGGGGGACGACAAAGCCACAGGATACCCAGAGCGTATCCACCAGAAGTGCCAAGTGGGCTTCAAAATCAGGGAAATAAAGCAGTAAACATACTTGTGCTCCTAACATCTTACAGGTATATGAGATTGGGTTCCCATACTATCCTGTCACCGAGGTAGAAAAGAGACATTTCCAAGACACTGAACCTGATCCATGGTATCAGCTCTTTTCAAGTCAACAGAATCTTCAAAATTCAGTAAATTCAACAGATGCACATCACCTGATAACCAAGAAGAGACTAGAAACATTGGTTTCGGTTTGCTTTGCTCTTCCCGGGGCAACTCCATACAATATAGTATGGTACGCAACGAAAGATATTCATAAGGTTTTATAATAAAACACCATCTCACAAACTTCCAAGTTGAAGCAAATCACTGTGGGCTACCCTGGAGGGGGTAAGAAAGAATTTACTCTCCTGAGTCATTAAGATATTTTCCCAGACGAAGAATTCAGCACGAGGAAAGGAAGCAGCCAGGTTGGAACCTCACCCTGAGGAGAACAGTCTCCACAGGAGGAGACATGGCCATTCAGGTCACAGCACAAGAACAGGCCACACCACAGAAAGGCACTCAGGAACAGCCAGCAAGCACTAGAACGTGCCAGAATTGTGCTGGAAACGATGATCTCAGCCCTCACAGCAACTCCATGAAGCAGGGACAGATGTCCTCCCCATTCTACAGATGGGAAAACTGAGGTTACAGATGTAACTAATGGGCAGAGCTGTGGTGTGAATCTGGGGCCCCTGCTTTGAAATCTATCCCCACCCAGATCTTGGCAGCGTCTACCTGTTGTGTGGCCTCCTAACCGACCCCAGGCCACTGCTGAATTTCACCTTCACAACACCTGCTCTTCCCCAGGATGTGTGCCCCCTGGCCTGGGCTGAACTCTCTCTGAGGCCCGCCCAGGTCCACTGCACAGCTCCCTTGTGGCCAAAGGATTCACCAGAGGTCCTAAGCCTCTTCCCCCCAAGGCCAGAAGTGTTTCCAACGTTTGTTTAACCTGTAGGAACAAGGGTGCTAGGCAGAGAGATGTGGGCATTTGGGCTCCCTATGGGAAGGCTTGGAACTCATTGTTGACAGGTGTCAGAGCTCTGGGAGAGGCTGTGGTGTCAAGTAGAACAGCCCCTCACCACTTGTGGCTGTTGACTACTTGGAATGTGACTGGTCCAAATCATGCACCACGGCATAAAATACACACCAGCTTTCAAAGACTTCGTATGAAAACAAGAAGGTAGAATTTCAAATTAATCATCTTTATATCAATTACTTGTTAAAATTTTAATATTTGTGATATACTGGGTGGAATAAAATATGTTATTGAAATTAATATTACCTGTTTCTGTTTAGTTTTGAATGTGGCTTTTAGAAAACTTCAGATCACATACATGGCTCGCATCCTGTTTCTGTTGGACGGAGCTCTATTGTCCGGGAGACCTCTGATGGTCTACCGAGCCTAAGTTGGAATCTGTGGCCGCTTATTTGCCCGGATGTCGCTGCCCCCGTAATTCCCCTAGAGGGAGGGGAGTTGAAGGTCACCCCACTTGGCAGGCTGGGGCGGAGGGTCCATTCGGAATTCTTTCTGGAAATCCTCAGCCAGTGAGACAGGGGCAGGCATTTTTCCCAAGAACCCAAAGGACAGGAAAGGCCAGCCCTCCTCCGTCAAGGACCAGGGCAGTGCGTGTTCTGGAGCCAAATGATCTAACCAGAAGTCGACTGTGAGTCACACATGCAAACCACAAATGCCAAAGTCACATATGTAATTTTAAAAGTTTTGGTAGCCACATTAGAATATAGGGGAAAGAAACACGTGAAATGGAATTTAATAATATATTCTCACCCAATACACCCGAAATATTATTTTAACATATACCAGCATAGAAACTATGAATGATTTGTTTTATGTTCTTTTTTTTTTTTTTTCCCATACGAAGTCTTCACTGCCCTGGGATGTATTTTGCACTCACAGCACACCTCTGCTCGCAGGGGACGAGCAGCTGCCAAATCGAGAGAGTCTGAGAGTCTACCCCTTAGCAGACCCTCCATCAGGGCGAAGGGAACCCACCAAAATGTCCGCTGCTCAGTGAAGTGCTAAGTCAGACGCCTTCAGCCACGAAGAGAGGCTTGCAGAGTTCTGACGGCAAAGGGAGAGAGCACTGTGCAGATGTTCAGATAGAGAAAACAGTGGCTGAAAATACACATCATAAACACCAGCAATCATTAGGTGGTGAGGTTGTGGCCTTTTCTCTCGTTCCTTATACTTTTCTATTTTTTTTTTTTTTGTTTTTTTTTTGTTGTTTATTTGACAGAGAGCTAGAGAGAGAGCACAAGTAAGCAGAGCAGCAGGGAGAGGGGGAAAGAGAGAAGCAGGCTCTCCGCTGAGCAGGGAGCCCAATGCGGGGCCCGATCCCAGGACCCTGGAATCATGACCCAAGCCAAAGGCAGCCGCTCAACCAACCGAGCCACCCGGGCGCCCCTCGTTCCTTATACTTTTCTATTCCTTACAGAGTTCTAATACTAATTTAGAAATTATGATTTAAAATGTTTAAGCAGGGGCGCCTGGGTGGTTCAGTGGGTTAAGCCTCTGCCTTCGGCTCAGGTCATGATCTCAGGGTCCTGGGATCGAGTCTCGCACCCGGCTCTCTGCTCAGCGGGGAGCCTGCTTCCCCCTCTCTCTCTCTGCCTGCCTCTCTGCCTACTTGTGATCTCTCTCTCTGTCAAATAAATAAATAAAATCTTAAAAAAAAGATTTCATAAAAAAACAAACAAACAAATAAATAAATAAAACGTTTAAGCAATTAGAACGATCAGCCCTGAACCGTTTCTTGAACGACTGTACATACGTCTGGCCCCAAGTTCTCCAAGAAGGGGTAACACCTCCAGGGACGTTGGGAGGGGTGTTAATATCTTATCCGGGGGGAGGGAGAGGATTTTCCTATGAGATATTTGTCCTGGGTGAACTGGGAGCTTCACACAGACGGACCAGCAAGGGCCATGGGAGGATTCTGGTGCTACATCAGCAACAGAGACAAGTGTCCCTGTCCCTTACTCCTGCCCCTGCCTGGCCAGCACGCGCCTGCATCTCGCCGGCCCAGAGTTACAGGAGGTGCCCTGGTCAGGGCAGAGAGGCAGCCGGGGGTGGGGGGAAGCGCTCAGACTCGAAAAACAGGTGATCACACATTCTTTCCACGTGCGCACACTGTGAATCAAATCGTTTCTAACGTGCCTGCAGCTGTTCGGTAGGATACACTGGGCTGCCCCAGGTACTAATTTAAAGTCCAACCCTGCTCTACTCACACACACACACACACACACACACACACACGCACATGCACACACACACTCACTCACACAAGCACACACACAGAGCACCAGAACAGCCAGAGGTCTAACTAAGGATGTTCACAATATCTCCCTTTCCCGTCTCAGCAGCTGCTTTTCTACAGTCCTCGGTGGCATTTCACTTAGGAGAGGCGCAGGAGGCACACTTCACACACGCGTGAGGGTCCGGCATTCATGGTTACGTCCGTCGTTTGTCCCCTACTCTCGAGATCTCTCTGGAGTGTGACTGGGGTTGGTGAGACGACGTTCCTGCTCCGGAGACTCAATCAGGGTTGAACCCATTGGCCTCAAATTAGTGCTTATCTAGCGCTGGGGGTTGGCATGTGATGTCCAAGGGGTACAGGGTTTCTTTGGAGGGAGGGGAATGACAAGGTTCTAAAGTTGATTGTAGGGATGTTTGCACAACTCTGAGAAGCCACTGAATTGTACAGTTTAAATGAATGAACTATATGGTATGTGAATTACATCTCAGTAAGGCTGTTTGGTTTTTTTTTAAGGTAATAAGCTCAGATGTGAAATTCACTCCATCCCGAGGATAACAGTGGAGCTTTCCATCACCTTGGGCACTGCTTTCCCTGTATAAAGAATGGGGAAGGCTCTTTGCTCCTTGCTTATGTAAAGACTCGTGTGTAAACAGAACTCTCCTCTGCCTCTCCTCGTGTCTTCCGATGAAGGCCTCATGGTTCTGCAAAGACTGACCCCTTTTCACTGACCTTTCTGCTCCTCCCATGCTTCTGGCTGCATCCGAGATGACCTCGTCTGGGGCATCTGGAGCTTCCTTCTTGGGAATGGAAGGTAAGGTGGATAGGCCAGGCCCGGGGCTGCTTCTGGGACGATACATAGAAATAGATGGTAAGAAGGGGATTTCTCTCCACACGTGACTAAAAAAGTCCATCTCCCAATTCAAGCTTTAAGGCACCACTACCCCAAAATGCAGAGAAAAAAAAAATCACCTTCCAGCAATCAATGGCTTTGGGATGCTCTTGGATCATTGGGGCCTCTCCGTGTAAATAAATCCAGATTCAAAAGCAAAGGTATTTGGGGTCCAGAAAAACCTATGATTGACTCTGACCTACACCCCTAGAGCGTGGCCAGCTAGTACACATTTCACTCTTTTCAGACAGTTTGAGTGAGATGAACTCAAGAACGCAGAGCGAACAGGGCTCTGTTTGGGACCAACACGCAGCTTCCCACTTTCGCCCATTTCTCTCACCTTTTTCGGAATCTTAGCACATCCAGAAGTTGTAAGCAGGTAAATTTAAACCGTTAAGCATAGAAAACCTATCTTTTTAAAACATCACCCATCTATTTGATTGACTCGTAAAAACTGGGGTGGGATTCACTTTTGACACTGGCCCCACGTCCCCCTGGGAGTTTGTTATTTTCTGTACCTTTCGGCCTGGAGCACTCCCGGAGCCAGGGTTTGGGGTCTTGGGTCCCGAGCCTTGTCAGGTTCCGGCGGTGAAGAGACGTGCACCTTCCCGCCCCCAACAGGAGTGGGGGGCTGGGGCCCGGGCTGCTCCTTAGCCAGCAGGTGCCCAGCCGGGCTGGCCCCCGGCAGAGTGGCGGCATCCTCCGAGCCTGGGGCCCCAGCAGAGCAGCCTGCGTCCCCGTGAGCAGCACCAGAGAACATCCTTGTTGTACCTGTCTCGGGCGGGTCCCCAGCCACACGTGCCCCAGTCTCAGCTGTGCTTGAAGTGACGTCACCCTCTGCTTCCCCAGCAGCTCCTGCCCCCAAGCCGGGCTCCGGGGGCATGGCTGCTACTTCCACAGCCTCTGGCTCGGGAGCACCCGGCTCACCCAGGGCACCACCTCCACGCCTCTGCTCGCCCCCAGGGGTGGCGGGAGTCCCGGGTGCACAGACGGCCTCGGCCACAGTTGAAACCCCCCTGTGGGGAGAAGATGCTCCCAGGACAGAGGTGGACATGTCACTCGGACCCCCTGTGTGAGCAAAGCCCCAGGCACCATCCTCCCTGGGTTGACGGTCCTGGGGGTATATTCCAGGAGGAATTCTGTCTTCTGGAACTGAGGCCCCGTCTCGGTGGCTCGGGGGCTCCCCCTGGAAGTCCGCAGCTTTTCCCACGGGAGTCTCCAGAACGGTGGTGGGCAGGGAAGGACCTGAGGCTCGTTCTCGCTGGCCCCCAGCCTGCTGGGAGGGGTCCTGGCCTACACGCCCCGACCCGGCCTCCCCAGCCCCATCTGGCTTCTCACCATCCTGCACCATCGGTGGGACACTGGTCATTTCCTTTCCCACACCGGCACCTGGCAGGCTCGGCTCCGAGGCTGACACTGCCGAGCCCAGCGGCCTTTCCGGAGCAGGATCCTGGGGAACCAGACAGGGGAGCTTAGCCTCTGTAGGCAACTCTTGCTTCTTTTCCTTTGCGTCCACCCCGAGTCCAGAAGGAACGGCGAGGAGAGGGGCAATGGCCACTCCTTGAGCCCCATCTGGAGTCTTCTCTGGGCGTGGCCCGGTGAGGTCCTCACCCTTCAGGCTCCCCTCGGCTCCTGCCTTTTCTCCCGCTGCGCTCTGGGGCCGATCGGTGGTCAGCGCTCTGAGCACAGACTTCTCAAAGATCTTCGTGATGTGCTCCCTGAAGTCAGGGAGCCCCGTGATCTTGCCGATCTGCTTGGAGCCTGCGTCCACACCGCCTGACGCACCTCTCCGCGGGTCCTCGGGAGGGTCTACCATCCGCTCCCCACTGCCCTCTGGCTCCCTTGCTGCCTCACCGGCCAAGCTCTCCTTGCTGGTGGGGTGTGCTGGCATCCCGCCAGGCTGGGTGACTGCCCCTGGGGCTCTTGCCTCCTCCTCCTCCCCTGTCATCTGCTTACTCTCCGTCGGAAGGGGCGCCCTGTCCAGGTAGCGGATGGAGCCCGTGGGTCCCTCAGCGTTTCCAGCTTTGGGGCTTCCACTGCTCACTTGCACCACAGAAACCTCCGCACTGGCCGCTCCTGGTCGTGAGGGAGGGGCAAGCATGTCGGCAGAAAGCTCCATGGAGGTGACCTGTCCCAAGGTCGGCAGGGGCTCTTCTGCGGGACGGGGGCCTGCCCCTTTCCCGGCAGCACCATCGATGTGCAGGTAAGGAGTGTCTGGAGCAGCCTCTTCTGGTGGCCCAGGGGGCAGGGGTCTCTTTGGGTTGGGGACAGAAATATCCACCTCGCTCCCGGGAATCCCCCCCCGTTCTCCGGCTGGCAGCGAGGCATCCTGGCAGCTGGCCGAGAGCTGCTCTGCTCGGCTTGGCTCACACAGGGCAAAGGTAGAATCTTCCTTCCCAGGGGAGGCGCGCTGCTCAGTGTGAAGGGAGCCGCCACTCAGAGCAGCTTCCGTGGGCCCCTCCAGAGCCCGCCGCACCCCCAGGTCCCCTCCCTCAGCATTCCCACCAGTCTCGGCAGCCCCACGGTCCGCACCTTGATCCTTGGCCGCTGGGAAACTTCCAAGGAGCATTGGGGCCTCCGCATCGGAGGCGGTGGGGAGCTCCATTTCCTTCTGCAGGGCCGGCACGGGTTGCTGCCCGCCTCCCTGCGTTTCCCCACACGCCTCTGTGTCTGGGGCATCCTGGCTGGGTGTGACTCTAAGGCTGGCGGGCACCGGGGCTGGCGGGCCCTGAGCTGCATCTAGGAGGGCGACTGAGTCAGGCTCACAAGGTGGGGTCACCTCTGTGTTCCCACTTGCCTTCTCTGTCTTACCCAACCCCTGGAGCGGGGGCTGAGCGTCAGCGGCTTGAGAAAGTTCTGCATCCCTGAGACATGCTTCTTCATGCCGGCCGTCGGCTTGCAACACACCTGCCTGTTCCTGCTGGGGCTTGCTGGGCCCCTGCTGCGCACAGCGACTCTCCTCTCTGCTCAGGTGACCTGCGAGAGGAGAGTCCTTGGAGGCATCTGCTGCAGGTGGTGAGACTCCGGAAGGCAGGCCGCCACGGCACGCTCCCTCCCGCTCAGCCTGCCCTGGCTCCGATGACGCCGGTCCTACTGTTGCTGACAGCTCTGGTGCTTCTGTCGCCGGACTCCCCGGAACCACGCCCCCGGGAGCCAAACCGGGAGCAGTAGCCAGACCGCCTTTGGGGAGCTCCCCTTGAAGTTCCAATCTGGAAACTTGTTCCTCTCTGCCATGGGTGGGCAAGCACACGTCCTCCAGAGGTCCCATAGGGAGGAGGGTTGGAGAAGCATCTGTGTCCAGGTTCTTAAAGCCTCGACTGCCTGCACAAGTCTCTTTCTCAGTTTCACACTGCTGGGGCTTCTCCCTGAGCATGTCAGACACGGATGCTTCTGGTTCTGATTGCAATGGCTGGAGACGGTTCTCAGAAGATACTGGGGGCCCCTCAGAAGCAGCTACTCGTGGCCAGCTGTCGCAGGACAGGTTTCCCTGCTGATCTCGTTCCTGGCTGAGCATTGTAAGCCCACCATCCACTGCCAAATTCTCCCCCTCGAGGGGATGTGGCCCATCAGCATGGACTTCCTGACCAGCTGCCTCATGCCCCAGCCCACAAGGTTGGCCCGAGGGTGTCAGCAAACACTCCCCGGCACAGCTGCTGGGCCTCCGCGCCGACGGGCAGCTCCTCATCATCTTTGTGTCAGATGGGCTCTCCGCCTCCTGGGCTTTGGGGATGACTTCTGCCGCAGAAGTTGACAGGAAGTCTGATTTCTCCGATTCTAAAGCAGGAAGAGCGTCCATTCTTTCCAATCCCCCCACATCCCGAAGGGGGTCGGGACACTGGGTCTGCAATCCCAGCACCTCCCAGAGAGCTTCTTTGGGAAGAATGTGTTCACCAGTTCCATCCGGCCCGGGGGCCAGGGCGAGCTCCTTCTCCGGGCGCTTGGGCAGTGAGCCAGAGGCCTGGACAACATGGGCTTCTCCCACCATCCCACAGGTCACTGAGCTCCACACTGCATCTTCGGGTGGAGAGCCAGGCCTGTTGGCGTGCCTGGGACCCTCCCTCCTGGGTGGCTGTGCTGAATCTGTGCTGGGATGCACGCTGCTGTCCACATCAGGGTTTAGCTTTGAAACCTCGTCTTTTTCCACCTCTGCGCTGGGCTTGCAGCCCAAGGCCCCGGGTTGCTCCTCCCACGGCTTCTCAGGATCTCTACCATCAAGTGGCTCTGGGACTTCTTCCTGTCCCCTAGAGTTGGCCCCGGGTAGTCTGCTCTCCTCCTCAGCCACAGCTGGGCTTTCAGGGGCCATGGCTTCATGCTTTGACCCTAGTGTGCTTCTGGCCTTTTCATCTGATACACTGGTTGGGCCAGGGGGCAGTACCCCTTGTTGGACCTCCTGGTCCCTCACTGAGACCTCTCCACTGTCCTCCTGGAGCAAAGGGGCAGCGCCCTCTCCACAGTTCCCTCCTAGACCCTCTCCCTCACTTCCGAGATCAGATTCGAGCTTTTCCCGTCCTGCCAACCCTGCATCTGCTAACTCTTTGGCCAGATCTGTAAGAACTGGCATCTCTGCCCCGGAAACCATCTCCCCGGTCAACCAGCTGGATTCTTCTGCAGCGGCAGAGGCCTGAGCAGCTGGTGATGGAGCGGAGCCCGAAGCGGGACGTTTGTCCTCCGTCGGTGCAGGTGGGGAAGGCTCTGTGTGCGTGAGCAAAGCCCCTCGGGGCGGGCTGTCTGCTGCTGCAGGGCTGGCTGCACCGGGCTCACCTCCTGGCCCCCCTGCCTGCAAGTGACCCCGAGCATCGCAGGCCCCCCCGGTCTCCTTCCCAGAGCCCCTGGCCCCAGGCACCGGAGTGCAGCTCGGTGAATTACAGGGCGGCTCGACATGTGCCAGAAGTGCTCCCATTTGCTGCTGGCAGCTTTCCCAGGAATTTGTGTCATCTTCCTGGGCAGCCCCTGCAGGGCTCCTCATGAGATGGCAGGCCCCAGGCAATCCTGAGCCATCAGCAAAAGCCCGAGGTGGCACCTCCCCTTGGCATTTGTCCCTGTCCAAGGCTCTGGGGGCTGGCTCTGGTAGAGTCAGGGTCTCAGGCTTTGTGGGGGACTCCTCCGGACCAGGGGAGCTTGCCTTGCCTGGCTGAGCGGCAGCAGAGGCTTCCAGGGCCTGTGGCACAGAGGCCGCCCCCTGCCTGGCCTCTGCCAGGGGCTGGCCACCTGCAGCCTCATTCCCTTGGGACTTGAAATCACCAGGGTGGCTATCTTCTCCAGGCTGTCCCTTCATCAGCTCTTGACGAGGTGCTGGTGAAACCCCCAGGGACCGGTCAGTGCGGCTAGAGGAAGACAACGTGTGCCCGGCACTGGGGACAACAGCACCCACGCTGCACTGAGTAGAACTGCCCCCCTCAGGGACAGATGCTGTTGGGGCCTCCCCACAGGCATCTGGGGACAGTTCCCGCCTGGGGTGTTGAATGAGGGGCCAGTCTTCAGGTTCTGCTACTGGGCTCGCCAAGCAAGAGTCCAGAGGGCCCTTAGCAAAGGGCATGGAGGCGGAAGGGCACTCCTGCTCCCAGGGCACTTGTGGGCAGGCTGGCAGAGAACCTTCCAGGCCGCTGGCCTCCTGGGGGCTTTTGCTTGGCTCGGTCACCTCCCGGGACACGATGCACGGGTCCAGGCTGGCGGTACCCTCAGAAGCGGAGCAGGAGCCTCGGTGCCCGGCGCTGCCAACAATGAAAACATTTGATTTTTTTCATTCGTTCTCGTGGATGTGCGTCCAGACCCACATCGCAGGCAGAATCACCCCCCACCTCTTCCCCACAGAAGACCACAAAACACAGCATCCCCATGCAGCCTTTCCTCTCTGTGAAGTGACCACGCCCCCCATCCGCCCCCTCGCATAACCAACCACGGGCCTTTACTTTCTCCCAAAGTCAGTGCAGGGAACCTCAAACATTCAGCCTGGAGCTTTCCGTGCTGGTCAGGTGTGATCAGGGAAATATGAACACACATTCACGGTGTTCCAAAAATGCAGGAAATTCAGAATGTTTCCAATAGGTATAAGCCATAATAGAGGGTTTGAACCCTTTCTGTGTAACTTACAAGGAGGTCCTAAGTCCATAAGCGGGATCTTTAGGTGTCTGGGGAAAAGGCACAAGTGGACAAAGCCATGCTTTGAAATAAAGAGCTACTGTTGAGAGCAGTTGACTTGATTCTTTAATTCAACATGTGGTACTGTGAGGGGCGTCATCCAAAAATCAATTCTGTTTAGCTGTATATAAAATTCTTGGGAGCCGAATTACCTTCACAACCATACATGTCTTCACTTGAACTTACACAGCTAGACAGCATGTAAAGCAAAACTATGGGAATTTAAGGGAACGTGGCTCAGAATTATGGATCTGCTGTAGATAAGCAGCTATCTAGGTACTGTAGGATAGTTCATCATGGGCCATATTTGGACTGGGGTTTTCAATTTTGTGTGGTTTTCATTAAGTGCATTTTTAAAATTTTAAAATAATATATGGCCAATACAACATTTTGAAAATGTAGGGAAAAATATCTCCCACATGCTTACCACCTGAAGGGTTCTGGTGATTTTCTTTCTTTTTTTTTTTTTTAATACACAATTGTTAAAGGATGCAATTTTATTATTTTTGCATAGTGATGATTCTATGTCCATGTGATGATCATTTCTCTTTTAGCACCAAGAGAAATTATGCAAAACAAAGTTAATAGAAGTATGGTTTTCCTGGGGCTTTTTACCATGTTGTTTGAAATTATTTTAGGGAAAAAAATAAAATTATTATAGGGAGGAAAATCTATGGACTGTTCTTGCAACTGTTACATATGTATACATTGACCTATTCACAGACCCACAGTGTTTTGAACGTGACCAGAGAAAAGATTCTACTCTACACATTCACTACCAAAATTCTAGCTTTCCAATGCAAGGCAATGCCCATACATTCATTTATCAAGGATGCACACAGTGGCAAGATGAAATACATTCCTGTTAAAATTTATAAAATTGAATTGTGTCCCCCTGAGATCCATATGCAGCCGTCCTAACCCCCCCATGCGACTATATTTGGAGATAGGGCCTTTCGGGAAGTAAATGGGTTAAATAAAGCCGTAGGACTTAAGTCCTAATGCCATCTAAGTAGTGTCCTAATAAGAAGAGGAAGAGACTCCTCTTCCCTTATGGAACAAGCCATAAGGGGACACAGAGAGAAGCCACCATCTGCAAGCCAAGAAGAAATGTCTTGTCAGAAACTGCCCGTGCTGGCCTAGTATAGGTATACGGGTATTTATTGTACTTTCTTGCAACATTTTGAGGTTTCAGATTTTCCAAATGAAAGGTTGGGAAAATAATCTGTACCGCCTCCAAGAATGCAAACTTCCAAGGATGGAAACTGAACGTTTGGGGCCTTCCAGTTCATAAACACGTGTTGAAACCCAGTCCCCAAGGGGTGGTATTAGGAAGTGGGGCCCTTGGGAGGTGACTTGGTCTTGAAGATGGAAGCCCACATGCATGGGATTAGTGGCCTTACAAACGAGTCCCCAGAGAGCTCCCTTGTCCCTTCTGCCTTGTGAGAAACAGCGAAAAATCACCCATCTACGGACCAGGAAGCAGCTTCTCTCCAGACTGAATCGGCAGGTGCCTCCTTGAGTTTGGATCCTAGCCTCTAGAACTGTGATAAACCAGTACCTGTGGTTTATGCCCAAAGCGCTTTCCCTGACTCCATTCCAGCCGCTCTCCAAGCCCCTCACCTATGAAATGTACTGGACATCTTTGAGGGGGGTGTGTACGCATCACCACGAGACCAAACATCCTCACGGAATGCCTGTTCCCACCCATATGACACATGAACTATGTGCCTGAAGATATTTAGGAGGGACCCAAGAAAGAGTTGGCTATTGTCTCAAGCAGATTCATGTTTTCAGACCCACAAGCAGAGCTGACAAGGGCAAAGGAGAGAACACTCGGTGGGTAAGTTATCCAAATCCCTTTAATCCTCAGCTGAACACAAGGACAGCTGCACCCAGAAAGCTCTGGGACGGCGCTGACGGCTGTGTGCGGAACCACCCCCGGAAGCACCAAGCTTGGGAAGGTTCCCAAGCTGCAGGGCTGTTGGATTGTTCTGGAACCTACCACTCTGCACTCGGCATCTGGCCCGCTTTCTTTTTACGACCACTTCACATTTTACATCCTACCCGTTAATGTGGGGTCACACCACTTAGCAGTTAATGAGATTAATGGTGTGTAATTCAGAAACAAAGTGCTCCCACATACATCTGCCCGCTGCAGACACGCAGAACACAGCCCCCTTCCACGAGGGTAAGAAGACAAATAAAACCACTTCTTTGTCCCTGCCTCTGACAGGAGCGGCTAGCTTAGAGGGAGCGAGTGGCTTCCCCTCAGGCGTAATGAAGTCTTTGTCATGGGGACAAGATGACAGATTGACTCAGTTTGGGCAGCTTGAAAACCTGTGGGTCTTAGACAAGAACCAGGAGCAAATTCCCACCGAGTGTGAGGCATACGATTCCCACCGAGTGTGAGGCATACGATTCCCACCGAGTGTGAGGCATACGACCTCACTTCCCGCCCCCCCTCTCCCCCTCATAAAAACCCTGCTTGGTTTATTCAGCACCAGCTGAGCACCAGCAATTTCTTTGATTGCCCACCCGGAGCAGTTTTTAAAACCAGATTAAAGCCACTTGTCAGTAGCAAATTTGCCTAAGGGCAGGAAAAATCCCAAGAACTGATCAGTGAGGGCTCTGCATTAATTGAAGCTTACATAATGTCCCTTTGTGCTTCAAGATTCTATCAAAATGTGTGGGATGGAGATGCAGCTCAGAACAAAGGCCCCCTCTTGCCGGCCTGGCAGCGCAGAGCCCTAGATGGAAGGTTTTCAGCCTGTAGGGGGCGCTGCCTCTGAGTTGAGGTTGTGGGATGAGGCCGGATGCGGTCTCCTTTTTTTTTTTTTTAAAGATTTTATTTATTTATTCGACAGACAGAGATCACAAGTAGGCAGAGGAGGCAGGCAGAGAGATGGGGGAGCAGGCTCCCTGCTGAGCAGAGAGCCCGATGCAGGGCTCGATCCCAGAACCCTGGAATCATGACCCCAGCCGAAGGCAGAGGCTTTAACCCACTGAGCCACCCAGGCTCCTTGGCGCACACCAGACACCCCCAGCATGAGAAAGGGGGAAGCACAGGGTAAAGCAACCTAGGAGGAGAGGTGATTTGCTGCAGCAAAGTTCTGAGCAGGCAATGGAGATGCCCTCCCCGCTACCCTAGCGGGAGGCAGTCACCCCTCAGATGGGCTCCTAAGTGCGCAGTTCTGAAGAGGTACACTCGAGCCAACCACAATGTTCGGGGAAGGAGGCCGGGAAAGGAAAAACAAGCATGGCCCCTGAACTACCAGGCTTCGAGGAAGCCAGCAAAACCATAAAGCAGAATCGTCCGAAGGAAAGTTGCCACAGACGGAGCATTTATTAAGGCCAGATCCGTGCTGAGCACTTTTCAGTTACTATTGGGTTTAATCCACTCCGTAGCTCTGCCGAGTAGATGGCCCTTCTTGCACACACGTAGAAATAGCCCCAGAGACATGTAAGCCTGGACCCAGGGTCTCAGAGCGCCCAAGGCAAGGCAAGCGCAAGCCCTGCGTTGCCAGGCTCTGGGGCCCCCGTGCCTCCCGCTTCCCTGGACTTGCTGGCCTCACCTCTTCTGCATGGGAGCTACAGCCTCTCCTCCCACTCACTCTGGCTGCCTCATTCCGGTTTCCAGTCTGCAGCCAGAGCAAAATGGCTTAGAAATAAGCTGGTGGCTCCGCTTTGCCATCAGCTGTAGTCCCGGCTGCCTTTCCTGTCTCATCCGACTTGGACCTCACCGTCCATGCATCTGCCTGGAGCCCAGAGCCCTCCTGCTCTTCCCCAGCAGGTCTCAGCCCTACTCAACCTTGTCACCAAAGCCTTCCTGGTCTTCCAGATCTGCTTCACAGGCTCACTTAGTGATGGCTGTAGTCACAGTTGCCATCAACATGGATTGATGATCGTTCCCTCCACTGGAGTAAATGAAGACTGAGTCTTGTCTCTTTTCAATATTGTTTCCCCAGTGTCTAGCATATAATAAACATTGAATATGTGAATGCATGCATGCATGCATGCATGGATGGATGGATGGGTGGGTGGATGGATAGATGGCTAAGTGGATGGGTGATTGGTGAATGGATGACTGGATAGCTGAATGGTTGCATAGATGGAAGAATGGTTGGTGGAAGGATGGATGGTTAGAGGGATGGTTGGGTGGATGGATGGTTGGATAAATGGATGGATGGACGGATGGATGGATGGTGGATGGATGACAGGGTGGATGGATGTTGGGTCGATGGGTGATTGGTGGATGGATGGATGAGTGAATGGTGGGTAGATGGACGGTTGGGTGGGTGGGTGATTGGTTGGTGGATGGGTGATGGGATATTTGATTGAATGAGTGGATGGGCAGATACAAGTGAACACAAATCAAAGATTCCAAATACGCAGAAATGTTCGCAAATCATGGTTGTTTGATGTGATGGTTAAGAAAGTTCCTTTCTGGGGCGCCTGGGTGGCTCAGTGGGTTGAGCCGCTGCCTTCGGCTCAGGTCATGATCTCAGAGTCCTGGGATCGAGCCCCGCATCGGGCTCTCTGCTCTCTAGGGGAGCCTGCTTCCTCCTCTCTC